TAATTTAAAAAACAATACAAATCCAATCAAATCTAAAATAAACTTTACCATTATAAATTATTTTAGGCATCTAAATTAATGGAAAGAATGTTGTACCAGTTAATGTAAACTATAATAGTTCTCTGTATTTAAACTGTTTATTAAAATCATGGTTCAGGTTTTTTTATAGAGATCTTTTTTTAAAAAATTCAGTTTCTTTTTTGGAGATGATAAAACATTCAGAAGAGGTTTTGTTAAAACAATGTTAGGTTTAAGATAATAAAAAAAGTTTTTATCTATAAATCTCCATCAATATGTTGAATAAACTGTTGCACTGTTTAAAAAAATATTTTTTTTGCTAAATTTTTGTTGAATTTTTTGATAGTTTTATTAAGTTCATTATTTTGCTAACATTACTTAAAAAACTTTTCAATATTTACATTTATACGTAGTAATAGTCTATTTTTTTTGTTTGGAATGTTTTTCACTGTTTGGGTATTGATTAGCTAGTAAAAAGTTATTTTATTTATTTTTTAGTTAAAACTGTTTCTTTTAAATTTATAATCAATCAGAGTCAAAATTTGTATCAAAATAATGTAAAACTAAGTTTAAAATTTTCACGCTAAATGTTTTTTTCATTATAGATTTTTGTTCTTAAAGTTGTATAATTTAATTTCATTGATAAAGGTGAAGAAGTTTTCAGTAATTTTTAGTTTTGATGGTTTAACTATATTGCTCAGAAACTTTGTTTATAATTAAGTCAGAATTTATAGAAAATTAATAATCTTAATTTAATTATCAAATTGTTTGCGTGTTCTAGTTTGTTGTTCTAGTTTGTGTGTTCTAGAAAAATTTTCTAGAACACACAAACTAAAATTTTCAGGTTGAGACCAGTGGTATACATTGTTTTTGTATTATTCATTTGTAAATAAAAAGTTTTTTTTTGTTAAATTTTTGATGAAAACACTTTAATAAACAATGTACTTGTTCTAGTTAACTCGGTCAATTTATAAAAAACATTAAATTAAAAGTAGCAAAGTTGTAACAGTTATCAACATATGATCAAAAATTAATATAACTGTACAAAAATTACTATAACTGTACAAAAATTACTATAACTGTACAAAAATTACTAAAACTGTACAAAAATTACTATAACCGTACAAAAATTACTATAACCGTACAAAAATTACTATAACCGTACAAAAATTACTATAACTGTACAAAAATTACTATAACCGTACAAAAATTACTATAACTGTACAAAAATTACTAAAACTGTACAAAAATTACTATTACCATACAAAAATTACTATAACTGTACAAAAATTACTATAACCGTACAAAAATAACTATAACTGTACAAAAATTACTGTAGCTGTACAAAAATTACTATAACCATACAAAAATTACAGTAGCTGTACAAAAATTACTATAACCATACAAAAATTACTATAACCGCACAAAAGTTACTATAACCGTACAAAAATTGCTATAACTGTGCAAAAATTACTATAACTGTACAAAAATTACTATAATCGTACAAAAATTACTGTAGCTGTACAAAAATTACTATAACCATACAAAAATTACTATAACCGTACAAAAATTACTATAACCGTACAAAAATTACTATTACCATACAAAAATTACTATAACCGTACAAAATTTACTATAACTGTACAAAAATTACTATAACTGTTCAAAAATTACTATAACCATACAAAAATTACTATAACCGTACAAAAATTACTACAACTGAACAAAAATTACTATATCCGTACAAAAATTACTATAACTGTATAAAAATTACTATAACCGTACAAAAATTACTATAATCGTACAAAAATTACTATAACCGTACAAAAATTACTATTACCATACAAAAATTACTATAATCGTACAAAATTTACTATAACTGTACAAAAATTACTATAACTGTTCAAAAATTACTATAACCATACAAAAATTACTATAACCGTACAAAAATTACTACAACTGAACAAAAATTACTATATCCGTACAAAAATTACTATAACTGTATAAAAATTACTATAACCGTACAAAAATTACTATAACCGTACAAAAATTACTATAATCGTACAAAAATTACTATAACTGTACAAAAATTACTATAACTGTACAAAAATTACTAAAACGATACAAAAATTACTATAACGATATAAAAAGTTAAATTAAATATAGTTAAATTTTAAAATAACAAAACTATTTTTATTAAACAATTTACAAAATAAATCAAATTTTTTTTTGTTTAATTTTAAATTAAGAAAGTGTACAAAAACTTTGTTAAAGCTTTGCTAAAGTTGAAAAAAAAACTTAAAAATAAGTTTGATCCTCAAAATCAAATTCTGAATTTGTAACATTTTTAAAACTTTTACAAATAATACAAGTACTAATATAAAGTATTCAATTATACTAATTATACCTAAATTATACAACAATGTTAACACAAAAATGTATTATAGATATTATTGAGTAATGATAATGATATTATTGAATAAATGATAATAAAATAGAAACATAAATTTATAGAAAAATTTGATTTTACATAAGAATTTAAGTAAATAATGAGTATTTGAAAGAGATTGTTTTAGAATTTAGACACTACAAGAAATAAGTTATAAAAAAATCATACTCAATATTTTTTCAATCATAATTAAATTCTGCCTAATTTTTTTAAAAGGTTTAGAATTTGAAAAGTTGGAGATTTATATAGTTTTATGGTATCTTTTAGAAAAATAAAACTTGAAATGTTTGAAAAATATAATTCATAAAAATGAAAAAAAAAATTAAAATTGTTGTACAATTTTGTTTCATTTTTTTTTTTTTGATTTACAATTTATTTATTTTTTTTTGCTTTTTGAATTTCAGTATCTAGTTTAGAATTCCAGTCTCTTGTGTAGAACTCATTAGATAATAATACCTAAAATATAATACTAAAAAAATATATAATACAACCTTTTGGTTATATTATTATAACATAGTATAACCTTTATATAATAATAACAATAATATAACCTTTATATAGTAATAATAACATAACCCTTAGGTTATATTATTTAGTATTATAGTACTTAAAAATATAACCTAAAATATAATACTAATATAATATAACCTAAAATATAATATTAATATAGTATAACTTAAAATATAATATTAAAATAATATAAACTAAATATAATTAATAACTATATTTATATTATTCTGTTATTTCTCAGAACAAATAGATAAAAGATTATTTCATCTTTCATGCATGGGTCTGATCTTGTAAACACTCCATAAGAATGTTAATAATGCAATAATAATGAACTTTCTAATGCCATTCTTAAACTCTTTTACAGCTTGTAGTTCTGACAGTATTCTTGTCAGAACTACAAAGTCAGTCTTTAAGTCTGTCTCACAAAAGAATTTTTCAGTACTTTTTTTAATACTCTTTATACTATTAAAGTGTTCATCAGAGTCTTTTTTTATCTATCTTCAGGAAAAAGGCATTTGCAGTTGCAATTTTCAAAATTTCTAGTGGTTGCTTAAACCCATCTCACTATGGTTTCTAGTGGTTGCTTAAACCCAACTAACTATGTCTCAATCAGTCTACTAATGTTTGCAAGTTCTTTAATTTAAAAACTTCAAATATCTCATGTCTAACAAATTTAATCTGAAAATTAATATGGATTTCACTGCTGACTTAATAATCTTTACAAAAGAAAGGTTCTATTGCGAATTAGATAGATGCGGTGAGGCCAGTGCTGTTGAAATTTTTTTCTTACTACACTTTTGAAGTTGTCCTTGATAAATAATACTCTTCTTAATTTTCAGTAACTTCTGGAGCACCATAAAGGGGTTATCCTTGGTCCTGATTCCATTCTCTAACTATGTAAATCTCTTGTTAGTTCTTCTATAGAATATTGTTGTCTTTTTATTATTATTATTTACTTCACGTATCCAATGCATCAGAGAGTATTACAGTGTGGCTTCTAAATTATTTTTTTAAGTTTATTTTATTTGCAATGAACCTTATTAAACAAATCTGCTGCGTTGGAAACAGGTTAAGTGTGTTGCTTCCTGAGGCCTAAGGCAGGTTTAAACTTGCAGGTTTAAACTCTGTAGGTATTGGAGGAAGTGTTTACTAAAGATACATATTTCTGACCCTACTACAATTTGATTACTGTAGTACTTCCTAATGACACTCTAATTATTTCTAAACACAGCAACCATTTTGTGTTTCAGTGTTATAGAGTTGAGAAAGGGCTGTAACATATAACATAAAAAACAAAAAAACAAAAAAAGGGCTTGCCTTCTTTTGTTGTGTATTTCTATTGTAAACATATTTTATACATATTATACATATTATACGATACATATATTATATATTATATATTATAATTATTATATATATAAATATTATGCAATACATTTTATACAAAGTGTACAAATATTGTATACTTTTATTCTATGTATATTTTATTGCCTTTATTTAGATGAATATGTAAAAAAAAAAAAAATGACATATTTATGTTTTTTTATATATATATATATATTTTTACATAAACATGTAAAAGAGTTTTGAAAAAAATTAATTTGATTTTCATACTGAATGTTTGTTTAATAAACTTTTTAATATAGTTTATCAAAAATTGTGAATAAAAAAAAACAGAATGAATAAATTTTTCTTTACTATTTTCATTTTTCCTTTTTTTTTCTTTTCAGATTACTCTTTGAGTTTCCAGCTACTGGTGGTTGTCTTACATTTTCGACTTTCCGCACTTTAAAACTATTGCGCTATGTTACCACTATGGATCACTTTGTGATGGCTTGTGAAGGACTATTTATTGTATTTATTGTATATTATTTCATTGAAGAATCTTTAGAAATTAAGAGGCATGGTAAAAAATATTTCTCTGATATGTGGAACATCTTAGATCTAGTTGTTATTGGCATGGGATTTATTTGCATGGCCTTTAATATCTATCGAACAGTAACAGTCAACAAAATTTTGCGTC